TCCCTTCCTCATCTTCCGGAGCCTCTCAGGTTCCGAATACCGCGGAGCCGTCTCCACCACCGCCTCCACCACCGCCTCCACCACCGCCTCCTCCACCGGCTCCCGAACCGGTACCCGCCCCGGCTGCCGAACCGGTACCCGTCCCTCCTCATCCGTATGCCCAGTTTACGGTTGAGGATTTACTAGCCTTACCGGGACGGGGGGCTTTACGACGTCTGGTTCCCGGAAAAGCGGAACCAGGCTCTTATTGGTAAGTAAACTTTTTTGTTTTTTATAGTTTTTAAATTAACGCTTTAATTTACTTAAGGGAGGGATGTAATAATTTTTTTTTTTTTGTGTTCATAGGTTTACTTTGGATAATTGTGTCGGTCGGAGCGTTTCCGACTGCATTAAGAGTCATTTCGTGGAGCCGCACTACAATTGGAGCAAGGTGTCGCAAGAGACGTGCGACACCTGGTACAAGTGCTTCGCGGTAATATTTTTAAATATTATTTATATCATTTTAAATTGTTTTAAATTTAATTAATCTTACTTTTATATTGTTTATCTAATTTTTTGTTTTCTTTTGCAGCAACGGTGGAACTGGGACATCGGGATCAACGAGACGGTCCGCGATGCTTTCGTGGAAAAGGCGAAGAAACGCCTAGTCAACACCGTTTCCGATTGGAAGCGGAAATGGGAGACCGACGGCGACGACGCAAAGCCGAGCTCCATGTCCACTTGGTGTTGGAACGGATTGAAGGCGTATTGGGTGGACCCGCATGCCCAAACCACCGCTGCTAAGTGTTCGGCCGTCCGAAACCGGGTCGATCCGGTGACTGGTGAGAAGTTAGTGACCCCGCACACTTCTGGCCAAGTATCTTTTGCGGGAAGACGTCTCATGATGGTAAGTAATTAAATATAATTTATTTCATTATTATTTTAATTTTATTTATTACTATAATTTATTAAATATTTTTGACTAATAATGTTTATTAATTGGTAGGCCGAGGAGAACGGAGGAGAACTACCTCCAATGACGAAGCTCTTCGAGACCACTCACCGGAAGAAGGACGGGAGCTTTGTCGACGCTCGGTCCAAGGAGATCTACAATGCCGCTATGCAGCGGATCGCCGAGCGGGAGACCCAGGCCACACCTGACGGTACTATCCACGTACCGTTGACCGTCGCTGAGCAAGACCAGATTTTCGAAGAGGTATGATCTATTTCAATTTTTTAAAAATTTATTATATTTATAATTACTTAATAAATAATTAACGTTTTTATTTTCCATTTGTAGGTCGCTCCGAAGAAGAAGGGCCGAACCTTAGGGATGGCCTCTATTAGAGACTGTCCTGCCGCCACAGCTTCCGGATTCCACCGCCCGCAGGATCCGCAGCAAGTGGCCCAGAAGCAGGAGCTCACCGAGATCCATGATCTTTTCGACATCATTGCGGAAGCGGTTCCGCAGTTGGCCACCGCAATCCGAGCGAGGCAACAGCGAGCACGGAGGGTTTTTGAGACCGGAGCTACTTCCGGTACTGGACCCTCGGACCCGCAGACGCAGGGCGGTCAGACTTCGGCTCCGGTCCCAGCAGTGACGGGCGGTCAGTCTTCGGCTCCGGTAGTGCAGACGGAAAACGTCGGTCCAGCAGCGACGGGCGGCCAAGACGGAGAGCTTCCTCGTGACGTCGATCTCAACCTCGACGATTACGACTTTGTATAGATTAGGTTTTTTTGTAAAAAACAATTTGTAGTAATTTTTTTTTATTTATAAATTATTTTTGAATTTAAATTTCAAATTTTTTCTATTTTTAATTTTTTTATTATTTTAAAAATTCATTAATTAAATTAAAATCGAATTAAATAATTAATTTATTAAAATCGAATTAAATCGAATTAATCGACGTAAATTCATCGTAAAGTTACGTCGATCTAACGTCGAAAAATTTAACGACGAATTTACGACGAATATCTTTACGTCGGATTTACGTCGAAAATTTACGACGATTTAACATCGATAATTAAAAATTTATTTTTCCCTTAATTGAAATTCTTCGTCTCCTAATCGTTGTTAAATCGATGTAATTTTACATCGATTTTACGTCGTTCTTATGATGGAGTTATTTCGTTGTACATCCGTTGGAAATTTTACGTCGCATTTACGACGAATTGTTTCCGACGATTTTACGACGATTTTCCGGAGTTGGTAATTTTACGTCGCATTTACGACGAATTGTTTCCGACGATTTTACGACGATTTTCCGGAGTTGGTAATTTTACGACGATTTTACGACGATTTGGGTTTTACGACGATCGTTTTACGACGAATTGTAATTCGTCGTTAACTCGACGTAAATGTTCTTTTACGTCGAATTTACGTCGATATCTGCCGACGTAAAAGCCGATCTTTCTTGTAGTGGATGACCAGATGGTTTGCTAGCTCGCCGTAAGAAGTCAGCTAGGCATCGCGGTATTGTTACGCCAGAGGTTGATAAAGTAATGACTAAGTATATGGCGAACACAAAGGGTAGCAAGATCAATAGTGTATCTAGCTGGAGTATACAGATTGTTAATCGATTTGGGACTAAGAACAATGTTGTCTTAAATGACCGGAAGTGTACATGCCAGGCATTTCAGAAACTTAAAATACCGTGTGGACATGCACTGTTTGCAGCCGATTCTGTTGGACTTCCGTATGCGAGCTTAGTGGGAGATTGTTATAAAACTTCAACATGGGCGGAAACTTACCAAGGTGTTATTAATCCAGTGGGTAACCCGAATGAAGTAGATGTACCTATGGAGGTCAGTAGTTCAATTTTGTTTCCACCTAAAACAAGAAGACCTTCCGGCCATCCTAAGGAGTTGCGGATACCCTCCATTGGCGAGATTAAGGTAAAATTTGCATTGGATATGTAGTTACATTGACTGAAAGTAATGTAATGGTAAACATATATGCAGGGTAATCAGGTGTCAAAATCAGTGCCAAACAAGTGTGGACGGTGTCGGTTGTCTGGACACAATCGAAGCAGCTGCACAAATCCGATTTAGGAACAGTTACACTCAGTAGCCATTACCACTTTATTGCTTGTGGTGGATGTTCCCTTCTTTTGTTTGTTTGGATGTAAACGTTATTAGCCCTTGATGTTTCTTTGGGCGTGGATGAAAAACCTTGGACAACTGTTCCCTTTTGTAAACTTTTTTTGGTACCGTATTATGGCTTGTTATGAGTGGTACGGATTATATTGAGTGTGGTTTTGGTTTTGGTACCGTATTATGGGTTGTTTTGAGTGGTATGAGTAAAGTACGGATTATTTTCATTATTTTATGATGATATTGATCATGCAAGGCGTGACTGCGTTACAATTTGGAGTTTTCTTATAATAACTTAATGACTGGTGGATGGTTTATGGTAATGTAGTTGGGTATGTGTTTGATATATATTGGATAAAAAGTTATGGATACTAAAGATGGATGAGAAAATAAAAACCTATGAGGTTTGTCTTAAATGACAACAGTGCCCTCAAATTAGGTTTTAAGTTGTCTTTAAGATGTGAGGTTTGGTGTCGCCGCGCTGTCGTCTGTAAGTAGGTCATGACTTTCAGCTACAGCTTAAGCTCTTCGTCGAGAGAAAGCTTGAACGCAATGGAGTACGCAGATTTGTACGATGAGGGTATACCTAAAAAGTGCTACTGTGGGCAGCCTCTTTTGTTGGATACATCAGAGCAACCAGACAACCGAGGTCGTCGTTTTTTCAGATGCGAAATGAGAGAGGTATTTAATTGGATATCTCCGTTTTTTTACTTGGTTTTCTTTATATAAACACTTTGTATAATTTGAAAAAATATTAATCGGTAACCACCTTGAATAGGATGGTGGTTGCAATTTCCATAAATGGTGGGATGTAGCTGTTATGCAGCAGTTTACACAGAAAGAGATGAAGCTTGGATACCAAGCAGATCGGCTGAAGTACATTTTGACTGGTGACAGTGGCGACCTCGTAGATCCTCCTAAGGTTTGGCGAGATGTGGATCTTCTTCGCGATGAGGTCACTACGCTGAGGGTGTTGATAAACGAACTCAAAGATCTGCTTTCTGGGTGTCACGAAGACTACAATGACCTGAAGTCATCTGTTAGTGAACTTGAGAGGACAGGATACCGTGTCTTAAATATCAGAGGAGTTGCGGATGCTAAAGTGCTTGTGAGATTCGGGATAGTTGTTGGATTTCTGATGATCTTATATTTTCTGTTTTCTTGTAAGTCTAACTGAAGTGTGTAAGGCATAATCGGTTCCGTGAGTACTGTAGTTTGCACTGAATTTATCTTCGTAGTAGGCAGAAATCGTAGTTGAGTGCTTTGTGAACATTTTCCATTAAATGTTGGATTAGGTATTATTGTGTGCAATGTGTGAAATTATCCGATGACCCTTAAGACATATTCGATGTCTTACAATGTTGGTTTGTAGTTCTTCGATGTCCATGCTGTACGTATTCGTTATTATAAGAAACTTGGATACGAGGCGAATCCATATTAAGAGTATAAAACGTTAACAATTTTTACAATTGCATTTGAATTGTGCTGACTTGTATGTTTTGGAGGTGATGTATGTTAGCTTTTATGTATCCACGAGTTCAGGCACCACTATGTTAGAGTGTAAACAACGAAAGTGGATAGGTGAGATTACAGAATAAACTGGTTGAAGAGACGTTGTAATTGATGTATCATACATTAATCGTAATTGTGAGGATACAAATTTATGGATATTCCAATAGGTCACTAGTTCGGACCACGTTTTATAGGCCAAGAGGTGTGAAGTGTATTAGAGTGGATACAACCGGGTGGACAACGGTTAATGTGGATAAGGTTGCAATAATGTTATAACAAACGGAGAAGAAAGTAGAAAATCCGGAAAGTTAGTTCAGAAAGAGGAAATCCTAAAACGTACACCAGAAAACGTACACAGAAACCGAGTATTTAGAAGATATCAATACGGTGCACAGCGTAGACTGGACAAGTGGACAATCCGCAGTGAAGTGAGTCAGTTCTTACTCATTGAGAGGGTGCCGGAAAGTATATGGGAACCACTAAATGCTTATCGATATCCATGGCGTATTGCTTCCTGAAACCGTCTACCATTGAATCAGATATCTCGGACATTGCTGCGTCACCATGTGCGTGTAGCTCGAGAAACTTCAGTGTTACAGGACCACAGTCATCGCCTCTAGTGTTCTCATAAAGGCCAGTCACTCTAGTATACCTAAACGGTTGCGTTCCATATTCTCTTGGAGCTTCCTTTGGACACATCGTCTGAATAATGTGCGGCAGGAGATCTAGAACAGGTTGCAGATATTTATCCACCTTACGGTCGGCGTTAAGGGAGGGAAGTGGATCAAGGACCTCAACGAACCAGCAACGGAGGTTTATAGCAAGACCCACCCAATGCTCGTTATCCCAACACATTGGTGCATAAACCGTGTCCACGTCCAGAAGCCATGTTTGTTGTTCGGCCTTCACAAATGCTGTTAGATGGTCATCCCATCTAATCTTATCCTTGTTTTTAGCAGCTTTCCAAGAACGATACTTGCCTTGTAAGTGGTTAATTAACCATGGAGACGCAAAGCATGCTTGTTCTGCTTGTAAAATACGATTGTGACGTGAACCGAGGAATGACATGAGCACCTCCATGTGCTGTATATGGAAGAACAAGTAAGTGAACATGAAATGAATGCATTAAAAAGGTAAAGAGAGTGATACTTACAAGCGTTGAAATCCATTTCTGAGGTGTAGCAAGGTTGAGGATGAATTCATTGTCGAAGGTAAAGTTATCCGCAGTGGTGTGTTTTCTGCAAATCGTGATAGAAACTGGGTTAGGTTTGTCTATAACCATTAAGGAAGATAGATATCTGTGGATACACTTACACTTTAATGCAATGGCGCAAGGTGTCGTGGAATAACTTAAACTCTTGTTCATCAACACTTTGCAGAAGGACTGTAGACGGCGACGTAACTTTTTCCCTTAAAGCCACAGCTAAACGTTGCTCCTCGTCTGAGGGCGAGTGCTGGACCCTCTGCGGCGGTGGAGATGAATCACTGACGTAAAGTACTTCACCGTCAGCTTGACCTTGCAATAAGTGAGTGAACTTGTAAATAGATTAAGACGCTGACCAAACAAGTGTGGTAAGTTTGTGTATACCTCCGATGTTTCAAAATTGTCGTTCTTCGGTTGGTGAAGTTGGTCTTTTACTGGGTCGTTTGATTTGGGTACTGTGTCACTCGACGGTAGGCTATTGCTCAAGGTACACGGCCGAATTGTTTCTGGAACATGCGAGACCAGTACAGGATTGAGTGACATCGGTCAGTGGATAGAACACCTTCGGTAATTACTTCACGAGTTTCCACTATGGTATCCACTGGTGGGTGTCCATCCTGATCTGGACGATCGGTGATCATTAGAGTTGGCTGCGTCGCTGAATCCAATTGGGGCGTAAGAGAGACGAAGGACTCAAAATCTGCATCATGTTGAACTTGCGATGTAGCACCCTTCTCCATGAGCTGCGTTTTGTGCATTTGCCCACTACTGTCGACTTGGAAGATGACTTGTCCATCAGCTGGTTCATCTTCGCCTATATCCATGACTGTTTGTCCATCAACTTGTTCTGATCCATCTTTGCCTGTATCCATGACTGTGTGTCCATCAGCTCGTTCATCTCCTCCTATATCCATGAATGTTTGTCCATGATCTCTATCGCCTATATTCCATGAAAACATGGATTGATCTGTGGTAGTTCCAATTTTGTTCTCCGCATCGTGTACCCCCGAGTGGACGGGATTTAGATGAGCAGTTTCAGGGTGGGAGGAACCAGTGGCCAGACAGTTTGCTTTTGTTGTAAGAAGCCTCGGTTGGTCAATAGCCTGATAGTACAATGATGGTTGTCACACCCTCGAATCATGTCTAAAAATTCTAAATCGAAATGAAAACATGTTAAAATGTAGATACCTTGAGTTTTGCATTTTGGAGTCCCACCTCATCGTCCTCTTTTATGTCTTCAAGTACTTTGGAAATGCATCCATCTGCGTAGTCGACACCAGGCTGGAACTTGCAAAACGAAAACGTTAGAGGAAATGTATATATTATGCCACGATGGTATGTTGATTCTAAACATGAGTTTCTGGAACGTTACATTGTGGTAGAGGAAAGGCCCCAATTGCGTTAAGAAGGGAATAGCAGTACTTTCGCTTACACTTTCCTGATGGATGACCTCTGTATGATAAATATAAGATTGCATCATTTTATAGATATAAGTAGTCAAGGTTAAGATGAGTAAAAGAAGTTAGGTATCTACCGAGTTGAGTGCCTTGATGTTCTGTACCGCATTGTGCAACATAGGAGGCGGGTGGAACGACAGCTTCCTCTCCAGGTTGTTCAGCTAGGAAGTCATCCATAATGGAGTCAGCGGCGGCGGGATTTTTATGACCATTTTCCTCTTGTCATTGACAGTCAGCGGCCGAATGATTTTTTTGACCATCTTCCTCTTGTCTTTGACAGTCATCGACGGGTGGTTCCTGTAAGGGAGACATTAAATTGTTATATTGTATAAGTGTAAAGAAGCTTGCCTAGATTGAGTGCTTTCAGAAATTACTGATTAATAAGATACTTACGGAGTCAATGAAATCATTATCGTTTCCATCCTGGTTGCCTGATTGGCTGGTTTCAGAATTTTCGGGTGTGTAGTTGTCTTCAGTTAGGCAGATAATTCGAGATGCAGACTGTAGAGGAGAATGATCGTATTGGGGAGTGTCACTTTTGCTGACGTCTGCTTTTCTGTCTGGTAGAATTGAGCCGTTGGGATGAAAGTTTACCAAACCGCACAGGCTTCCTTGCTCTGACTTTATCTTCCAGTTTTTGTACACGTAAGACCAACTGCTTAACCTGCGACAGCAGCCACTCGTTCTGGTTTTCGCATTGTACCTCTCTGCGGACGCAATACTCGTCGATGGTTTTCTGTTTTCGCCGACTCACATGCTTAGTCAATTTCTTCCTTGGGCGTAGCTTTGACGGAGTGTGAGGCTGCGAATGTTTTTTCTTACGATCTACAATGTGTCTTCGATGAACGCTTTGAACAGGTGTTGGGACATGAATCCTTAACGGCTCGGAAGCGTCTCCACCCGGCCAAACGTTCTTGATGAATGAATGCCTTTTGCTTACCAGCTCCATCAAGTAATCAACTTTCCTGTCCCGAATTTCATCATCCCATTCACCCCATCCAATCACATCGGGAGTGTGGACTTCTATAAGTGGATGGACAATCAGCTACCATCAAAGCCGAGAAACAAAAGTTTAGTCAGTAAAGGTAATACATCTGTAATGGAGATAAATTGGAAGAGCATTAAGAAAGAAGAGTTACATTGTCCGCAAACTCAACGTCAAGCACGTCCCGGATGGATAGAGAGTCGTTTTTGCGAAGTTTTACAGCATTCCACTCGAGTAGTGTGGGATGAGCGGAGTCATTAGGTAACTTTAAGGGGAGGGACGGGATGGCTTCGAATGCAACAAGTTGTAAGACAAGAGGAAAGCCTTGCATCCGAAAAGTGGATTGGTGAAGCAATTGCCTAAACGCTGTTACGGGGTCATCGACTTTGCCTGGAACTTTCTTCGAAGGACGCATACATGCAATGGTTTTAAGGAAGGATTCTCTCCCCCAAGGAAATGAGAGGAATGCATCAAGGTCCTCCAACATGCGAACATATCTAGGAGTGAGCTTGTGTATCTGTGTGTTAGCAACTAGTACGCCGTCCACAATTATAAGCAAAGCTAGACGAAGTCTTCTGCTGGTAGGCATATCCGGATCGGTTCTAAGCATGTAACCAATGTCAGCGAGAGTAGTCTTAGGATCATTGCCTATTAATTCTCGCCAGTAGTCATCCGGAACTACGTCAGCTTGCCCCTGAAAGTCGGGGTCGTAATCCTCAGGGAACTCGCCACATGGCAATCCAGTAAGTTAACCGAACTCCCTCAATCCAAAACGAAAAGGTTGTCCACCAAATACTATCCAGATCTCATATTTCTTCTTGCTAACAACTTGTCTGGTTAAGAGAGTGTGGATGAGCTTACACGATATAGGGCATCTGACAGCTGGGAGTTCAAATAGATGGCGGAAAGGGGAGTTTAAAATAGTTTCCAACTCTGGAGAACCTCGCAAGACATCAAGGAGAAAGGTAAGGGTGTCTGGCTTGGAGTAGACGTTGATAGGGTTGACTGGGAATCTGTCCGTAGCAAACAACCGCGGCGGTAAACGGTCGTCGCATTCATAGTCGGGAACTGAATCTGCAGACGAAATTTGGGATGGAATTTATAAAAAAAAAAAGAATACTAAACGGTAAACAATACTGAAACCGAACAATAACAGGAAATCTACTATAAAGCAAACTCTCGCGCATGAACAAACAAAACGAGAAACTAAAGAGTTCTTCGAACGAGAGATCCTATACCTGACATATTCGGAATATGAGTTATAGTGGAAATTGCCAAATCTCGATGAAGGGAAAGGGCTACAGGATGACAAATGAGCGATGGAGAAGCAAAAAACTGTTTAATTTTGAGGCGAGATGGGATCGACGGAAGAGATAGTAAGACGCCGGCGATAGTGGAGAAGAAGTAGGGTTTCGACGGAATAGAAAGAGGAGAGAAATGATTTTACAGAACGGTAAATTAGAGGGTAAGTTAAAGTGCGATCGGGAAATGGTAAGTAGTTTTAAGGGCAGAGATGTCTTCTCACTTTGGAAAAGTATACCAATAGTTGGAAGTGTCTTTCTTTGTAAAACAAAAGACATAAAGTGTCTTATTGTGTAATTGTTTCTATTATTTAAGGCATTGTTTAAGTTTTTATTTTAGTTTAATAAATAGTCTTTTAAGTGGCACTTCGGTTCTCTCTATGTTCTGTCATCCTCATCTTTCACAGAGAAATAATTTTTTCTCAAATTTTTCTGTAAATTTCCGATTAATATCAGATTAAATTTCTGATTCATCCGGAGCTAATAAATTCCGGCGAATCCGGATTTCTTCAGCTTAGTCCGATTAACTTTGTTTTTTGGTGTGTTAATAATCTTTCGATTAACGGATTTTTTGCTAGAGATATATATTTTCAAATTCTTTTTCTTATGTGAGTTTAATCATTTGCTAATTCTTAGTGGAGTGAAGGATTTCATCAAGTTGAAGGATTTATTGATCTTTTCAAGGTTTAAAACAGAAGGTTTTTCGTTTTCGGATCTCTCATCTTCTTCTCTTTCTCCGGCGACTTAAAGTTGATATTAGATCTATTCTCTTTAATCGTTATGCTCGATCTTTCTGTTTGGAGAGAAATAAATCTCTACCTCAAAGGTTAAGCCAGAGTTTCTCTTACAAAATTAAGAATCATGTGTCGATTAACTTATAGATTTGGTTAAGGCAATTTTGCTGTCAAATCATATAAGTTTCTCGTTGGTTTATCTCGGCGATTTGGGGAAGATTCATCCATTATAGCTGGTGAAATCTGAAGAGGAAGATGTTGCGGTGGTGCAATTTAGTATTTAAGGAATTGAAGTTCGCGGCAACTGACGGTGGTGTAGGAGATCGAAGTCTACCAGAGTTTTCCAATTGATTTTGAGGCGGTGCTGTTCGAGCTCCTTCATCCACGACACGTGTATGCTCTTTTGTTTAGTTCCAGGCCTGGGCACGGAACAAGTACTTGCTATTTTTGGTATACTTGATATTTGACCCGCTCCATTCAAGTATCAAGATATTTATACTTGTACTTGATCCGTTAATATCAAGTACTTGCAATTTTAAGTACTTTCCAAAAAAATTATTACTTGCAAGTTACTTGCCTTGTCCGGTTACTTGTAAAAATACAAGTAAAATACTAAAAAAATTAAAATATTGGTCATATTAAATTGAAGTCCATGATAATATATAATATTTTAACTTTTGAGTTTTTGGAAAGCCTTAAATATTGAAGTTTAGCTACTTATTTGTCTTTTTATAAGAAAACTCTTTTTTGTTATGTTGTAATCGATGTGGGATAAAATTTAAAAGAAATCAGAGATTGGAAACGAGTAATAAGTCAACAAGACCAAATAGTAACTTTTTTTTAATACTTGATACTTGTCTTATACTTGTAAGTAATTTTCTTAAGATATTTGATACTCGACTTGATCAAAACAAGTAGTACTTGGTTTTACAGGGCAAATACGGGTCAAGTAACGAATACGGGACGAGTACCAAATAACTGTGCCCAGCCCGTATCATTACACGTGTTTGTTGTATTACCTTGGGTTTTATTGGGCGTCGACTTAAACTATTGTATCACATGTTCTTGCCTTTGATGGGCTTTCCATTTTAATGGAATGGCGACAAAAAAAAAGGTGGCACTTCGGTTTTTAATTTGGTTTTTGGTGATCTCAGGTTTCTTATTACGGTTTATCAGTTTTAGAAAAATTTAAACCATATAAAAACCACATACATTATGGTTTGGTATTTTCTTATAAAATTTAAACTATATAAATAAAATTTGCAGTTCGGTTCAAATTCGATTCGGTTATAATTTTTTTTAATTAATTCCATAATTTTCACTCATGAGAGATAGAATGATCAGTTTCTTATATAAAATATTTGAATATTTAGAAGATCAATTATGACTTGTGTAGAAGAGTAAGACATCACACAAGTTTAAAAAATAGAAACAAATGTTCACAATTGTTTTACGGCCAACAATTGTTGTGTTTGTTTTATTTAGGATTTCTATTATTTTGTAGATTTTTTTAATCTTAAATTTTAATTTTATGAAAGATTTAGAAATTTATAATGAAAAGTTCAATAAAAAATAAACTCAGATTAAACTAAAAATATATAGAATTATTTAAATATCGCGAATTAAAAATTTTGGGAAAGAAAGAATTAGAAAACCTGTTTTCTCTCTCGCAACTCTAGAGTAATTTTCACAACCACCAGATCTTCGTGATTCTCCGGCAGACATCGGCTGTACTCTTTATTTTTCTCTATTTTTAGTTTGTAAACTTGGAATAAAACTCATGTTTTCTCCTTCTCTTGTGAGAGAGTCTTATTTGTGCGATTCACGCACTTGCTTTCTCTTCCTCCTGAGGAGCATTGTTTGATAGTTGATTTCCTGTTTCTATGGGTCAATTCTGTCGGTTTTAGTCCGCCTGAGTGAAATCTCTGTCGGTTGGTTGAAGTTATCCCCTTCGGATGATTTCCGAAACTTGAAACCACCTTGGAATTTTATCTCTTTAAATGTTATTCAGGATTGTTTCTTCAGTTTCTATCTTAGTTCCTTGTCAAATTGGAGTGATCCAATACGATGTCGATTGCAATAATTCATTGCCTTTGGTGTGAATGATGCATTGATTACTTTTCAAAAGGATGTGTGTACTCAAGCAGCAATATTGACATGGTTTGTTTATGTTGATGTTCTTTTAAATTTGAAGAAACTTTTGATGTGCATGTGTGTCTCCATTGTTGGTCGAGGATCTTCTTCGTGGGAGTCGTTTTCAGGTGGACGACCATTATGATTTCAAAGAAGACTCTGGTTCGTGATAAGGCTGAAGGCTTTCTACAGATCAAATCTGGAGGAAAACAAAGTCAAATTTCTTCAAATGACTTTGATATGGAAGCGTTAGGTATCTAAATGTCAATTTTCAGTACTATTACCAGAAGTATTGGGTTTTCTCAGGCAGTGTGCGAATTGGAGGTTCAGCCAAGAGATGCTACATGTTGGGACAAATTTGATCCTTCCTACGTGGACGAATCCACCGCAGCGAGAGTAATGCAACCGCGGCAAAGCCTTCATTCCCCATGGTCACACCTCGCGCGACTGCAGCCAGACATCACCGACTTAAAAAGCTCATTTCTGAAACCCAAGTCATTTCCCAACCTCAATTCCGGAACCCTAGAGACCTTGGAGTATTGAAGACTATAAATACTTGTCATTTAGGTCGTTTTTAGACATCACCTATCATACTTTTACAAACCCTTTTTCCGGCCGTTTTACGGAATTTTAGAGAGAATTCTTCAACTCTGAATTCATCAATAGAGAAACTTTCTTTAATCTATTTTCTTTACTGTTTTTGATTGCTTCCATTAAAACCAATGATGATGTCGACCTCAGCCATGGCTGAGTAGATCCCGAGTTAGGCATAGGGTTCCCGAAAGGGGCTCTCATAATCTATTAAGACATCTAGGTTTTTAGATCTAGGATTTAAACTATGTTCTCTTTTTATTCTCATCTTTAATGCATGTATGCTTGATTGATCACCTCGTATCTGATCTAGATAATTAGTGTTGTGAAAGTTTTCATTAAGTATCCGACCTAGAATGAAACAGGCGATTTTTCCGTAGGAGTAGAAACCTGCCTGCGGCGAAATCGTGAGTACTGACGAGTCCTGTGCAGCTCTTGCATTTTCTCCCCTCCAGAGCCAGAGTGGAAACCTACTGGTCAGGGTTGCGAGAAACAGTTTGTTATGATCACGACGGTGACGTAGTCATACCGCCGAACTCTAGCTCTAGAACCCTAAAATTTTGATATCCGTCAATCCCAATCTAAAATCCCTAGTGTTGAAACCAATTATGATCCCCGTGGAGTTCCTGAAAGTCCAGCGTTTTTAGTCATAGTTTACAAACCAATCGATATTTACTGGCTTTCTTAGATCTGCATTTTATTTGTTTTAGTTTGAATTTTACTTGTTTCAATTGCTTCCATTTGATTCTCTACTTGCGTTTTAGGATAGATTTATTTGCTTTCTTTAGTTTTAGTTAAATTTGTGACAAACAACCAACCCCTAAAACCGATTTAGTCTAGACATAAACTTAGAAACCGTAGAAAAATACTAGGCACACAAATCCCTGTGGATTTGATCCCTAAGTACTACAACTGAGTAGATGTGCACTTGCAGCTTTCATTTGTTTTTATTAAGGGTAAAACCTGTTCTCTCACCTCGCAGCACATCAAGTTTTTGGCGTCGTTGTCGGGGATTTGTTTCGCTGTCCTTTTTATTTTTCTTGTTCTAATTTCTGTTCTAAACATCTGATCTCTAGTTCCTTCTTAAGTTGCTGAATTATCTTTTCCTTCTTTTGTTTTTCTCTGAATTGCATGAATACCAGACGCAGACATGTATCATGATATCTCTTCTAAATCTGTTGCTCTTTCCAATAGAAAAGGGGTTCACACTTTTTGCTATCTCAAGTTTCATGATATCTCTCTAGATACTTGTAGTTCTTGAGCTGAGGCATTTTTCAGTCTTCCGACCATATTCCAGTCATTTCACTTTACTCACTCTCCTCACATTTTTTTCATTTCGGTTCTCCTCCACGGTGGTTCCTAAACCGTGGAGATCTCTTACCAGACTTTTCCACTTTCTTCTCTTTCCATTCAAAAAGCCTATTTTCCTTCCAGGCCCGAGCAGATCTCACTCTTCTCAGAGACTCTTGGCCCACTTTCCTAATCAAAAGTTTTTTTATATCTTTCCGATCTCCGACCTTAACGCTGTGGTTATTTTTTGAGTTGTTTTCTGATTTGAGCGTCGGAGTGCTTTCAGAAAACACATTCCCATTGTGTTTTCCAGGCCCTGACCGTTTTCTGTTTTGGAGGAGACTTGCCCCTACAAGAGAACTGAAAATCTCCTAAACACTACACAAGCACACCATTTGCATCAGAGCAAGATCGAAGATGAAAAAGGAAAATAATGAATCAGTTATTCATTAGCGAATAAGACTTATCTACGGAAAGCATTGTCAAATTCATTTTTATATCTTTGTTAGTATATGGTACATATATTTGGATATATAATAATTTGTTTCATGAAATTTCTGTATACTGATTTTGTAACTTCAATTTGATATCAATAAACATTGTTTAGGCGAAAAATAGAATTATTTAAATTTTAATTAAAACAAAAAAAGCTATTCAATTTTACGGTTTTACCAAACCAAAAACAAAATTAAAAAATGATAATCAAATGGATTTTTAGATTACACCAAAACCAAAGCAAATCACTTACACTATTTCGGTTTAGCTAGGTTTGGTTTTATCGGTTATGGATTTTTTGCCCATTCCTACTCACTATGGTGCAAAATACTGGATTGATTTACCATACTGGATTTGATTTACCCACATCAGGATGATTTGCTGTGGATTGATTTCCACGGATACATCAATTTATAAACCGGTAACTAAGGACTGATCTTACGAATGTAATCCAAACATCGACATTAGCATATCACATAGACTGATATAAGTGATATTAGCATATCGCATAGACTGATATATCATATAAGTTATATACTCAGATCGATTAATTAACTTGCTTCCTTGAAAAGAAACATCACCATCATTTGATGAATTGTCGATCTGCTGACCTGTCTGATGAACTGTCTGAAGATTTTGCTATGTATTTCCATTTTATTTGCAGAAACTTTCCTTTTCCTTTTTGTTTGTTATACAAGTCTTAAAGTAATCCACGAAGAACTTTTAAGTAAAAACAGCTCAAGATCATGTTAATAATATTTGCTACAAAAACCAGTTGTTCATACTTCACAATCCATCAAAACAAAACAAAAAGAGGCCAGATACTGATTTCTTGTTTTTTTTTTTAGTGTCTGATTTCTTATTTATAACACTGCATAATATCTAATCACTCATATATTCGAAACTCCTTCTGAAGGCCTCAAATTCCTCATCGCCGGACATGACGGAGAAGTATTCATCGTCTTCATGTGACACTCGAGCTTGCATGCTCCCCGAAAACCTGTTTAAATGACAACACAGAGAAAGAAGTTTAAGAACATATATAGTTTGTGTAGCTAAGTTTGAAACTTTTATTGTACCCCTAAATGATCACTTACGTATTTGTTTCTCCAGCCACATTGTTTCCTGTTGAGACCAACACATTATCTGTTGAACAATCCCCTGAAGATATAGCTTTACCGGTCACTTGATCCTGCTTCTTATCACCACCAACAATATCAGACTTCTCTTTTGTAATTTGCTTGGAAATGCTTTCATCCTCATTGTTGACCTCACTTATCGTAATATCCTTGTTAGCAACTGTCTCATTTGCGCTTTCCATGGGAAGAGCTTCCTCAATAATCTCAATATCCTTTTTAGCATCAGTCTCATTAGCGTTTTCCATGGGAAGAGCCTCCTCCAGAGCAGCAATGTTCTTGTTAGCATCTGTCTCATTTGCATATTCCATGGGAAGAGCCTCCTCCTGAGCAACAATGTTCTTGTTAGCATCTGTCTGATTTGCGTTTTCCATGGGAAGAGCCTCCTCCAGAGCAGTGATATTCTTGTTGGCATCCATCTCAACTGCGTTTTCCTTGGGAGGAGTCTCCTCCAGAGGAGCAGCACTGTTTACATTTCCCTGAACAAAAGAAAAAGTATTTGCATAATTAGGCATGTGCAAGAGAAGGAAACAGCTAAAGAAAGGTTCTTGAAAACATAATCACAAAAAACACCGTATCGGGAAGAGATGAATTTTGGTTCTTGAAAAGCTTGTTTTGCTTATGCCTTTGCTTTTGCTTTCTCTCCTTCCTCTTTCGATTTTCCTTCTGCTTTTTCAACTTCATCTTATCACTCAGGACATCAACATGCAAGAACCAGTCTTTATGGATGTGTTCAGAAGCCTTTGCAAAATCCAGAAAATTATCATCGGGTACAAGATAAAACCGACCGTCGCGTTTGATCTTATATTATGAAACAAGAAAAAAAAAACAGCTCCTTAGCTTTCTGCTAACAAAAACAAAACGTGTATGAACAAAACATAACCATACCTTAAACCCACAGATACTGATTTCCCCAAATTGTGGGAAAATTTGTTGGTGTTTCATGCAAAGTCTCTCTATAATCAAACCAAAACAATCATGTCATTTGTTACATCCAGAAACGATACTCATCAGAATCAAAGGAGCATATGTAGATAGAATTTAAGCAAAGAGCTAACAAAAACGATTTTGGAATTTTTGGGTCCTCACCTTTGAAATCGGGAATGGGTTCGCCGTAGTGAAAGAAAATAGCTACACGAGTGCCTAAGTTTGTCTCCAAGTAAGCCCAGCGAGTCACTGCTTCAGCCATTATTATCCTTTTGTAGACCCTGAAATATCAAACCCAACCAATTCGTGAGACAAGAAAACCTGAATCAGAGAGATAAAGGTTCAGGAGCAAAAGAAATTAGGGTTTGAATACCAGATTTCTAGAGAAAATGAGAGAAGATGAACAGTTCTGGTGTAGAATCCGAAAAGGTTTTAGGGTTTCTTAATTTGAGAGCGAAATGAAGACGAGCGCGAAGAAAAGAAGACCTCTTTCACACTCACTCTCTCTCGAACATTATTTAAGCAATTGTTTGAGTTTTTGTTTAGTTTAATAAATGGTCTTTTAGCCCAATAACCATATTGGACTCATTATGGTGCAAAATACTGAAATATATTAACCACATAAGGGTATTTGCTGCAGATTGATTTGCCACAGATACATCAATTTGTTACTGGTCACTTGAGACTAACCTAAATTCTCTGAAGAATTTGTACACAGAAGCTGAAGTTGAGATCAAAAGAGTCAAAGAGTTTCACAAACTGACTTGAAAATGGATTTACACAAAACACTTCACCACAAAGGATATGACATTTTTACTACACTGTCAATGTTTTCTTCCACCTTTATCCTCTTTTTGTAAGGCATGAACCCTTTCATATTCTTCATCTCGATCGGTTTCAACTGAGAAAACGCTGATCTCTCGCTTCTTTTGAACTCCGGTACCACCTTTCTTGTCAATTCTGTTTCAGCGTTTTCAAAAGATGAAGAAGAAGAACATTGAACAGATTGTGTTTCCAATTCTGATTTCTTCTTGATTTCCTCTGAATCATTAGAGCTTGTTGAAGAGTTGTAATCACCAACTACAAAAGTCTTTCCAAACAGCTTTAGGCTTTGTTTGGTCTCTGCTTCTGGAAACAATGATTCCTCTGTGTGAGATGATGATAACTCATTCCCCTGTCAAAACTCAATAATGTCAGAATCTCGTAACACAAAAAGACCTCATTCAAACTACCAGATTGTGTGTCTGTGTAACAACATACCGACGAATGAGGTGAATTTGAACACATTGAACCTAATCCATCTGAGCCATGGGCTGACAAAACCGATGTTGGAGATCGGTTATTCTTCATCTGAAACCAACTTAGCTCCGGGCTAGCTCAGCGTAAACCATCTCTTTTGCATCAGGAATCACTAGCTTTCTAGGGTAAGGATGCATCGGCTTTCTTTTCGGCCTTGGAGGAGGAATCTCAATAGACTTCTCAGAGCTAACACCATAATCACGAGCAACCTATTCATAAACTTGGATTAGATCTTGTTTAACTTGACAAAGGTTGAAACTTGAAACTTTTTTTTGATGTAGACCGTTCTTGGTTAACAACAGTTTGAGCAAAAGAAAAACAAACCTTAGTAAAGAACTTCTGAGCATGGCTTCGAATCTGAACAGCAGTCTTTGTTCCAACATGTTCTGTTCCATGAAAGAATCAGCAAAAGTCAGAATCTTTCACCAAAATAAAACTGCCTCATCAAACCTATTTTTAGAATGTGCATTAGAGACTCTCTAAAATCTAGAATAAGCACACACACCTTCTATTCGTCTCCAAGCTCTGCCATAGAGTTTCAAAGCTTCTACAAACTTCTCATGCTCAGCTTCTGTCCATTTCTCTCTTTGTTTAGTGATGGTATACGGCTTTCTTGTCTGGATTAAAGACAAACTATTTTAGACCTCACTTGAGATATAAACTAATCAAGAGTAAACAAGAGATCCAAGTAAGTTACCTTGAGATAAAAGGCATCTGTGGATGAAATAAGCTCATCAGAAGCTCTGTCACATAAACTCTCACAATGTTCCTATAATAAATATAACAAATACCCAAAATTTACATTAGTCTATGAATACAAATGTTGGAAACTGAATGTTCAAAGAGTCTTATAAACTAATTAATACGAAACTAGAAGAGTTTAGACCATCAGTGATTAGAGATTTGAGACTTTGCTCTTACCTAGTTCTCAATACACATTAAGTAGTAGTAATCTCTTTAACACACAACCGACCATAATATCCCACAAATCGCCTGGTCTATAACACAATTTAACCTGCGCCAATCGAATATTCTTCAGTTCCAAAATTCTCTCGGACATAGACAAATACAAGTTGTTTAAAACTTGAATTTGTAATACCTAACATACCTCTTGGATTCTTGCCTAATTTTTTAGGTTTAATCTGTCTAAATACCATAACCTCTGTCCAATTAACATGACAATAGTAACAGAACCAAAGATGATGCGGATTATATTAAAGATTAAAAAGAATAAAGATATTAAACCTGCATAGCCATGGTTGGAGAAGAAGAAGAAGCAGACTTGACTTTTTTCACCTCGAACCCAACCGTTTGTGGGTTTTCTCCGTTATTTAACACAATTCTATAGCCGGAACCGAACTTAATTAAACCGGAAAACAGCTAAATCTGAAAACGAAGAAGAAGAAGAGAAAAGAGAAACTCTTTAAAGATAGGTGAGAGAAATGAGAGAGTAGTTTAGGAAAAGAGCAGAGTCAAGGTTACTTTAAAAGAGCAAAGAGAAGATAAGCCACGTCAGCATAAGGTTATTTTAATTTTTTTATTTTTATTTTTTTTCGTGAAGAAAAAGCGAGATGAGTCGAGAACTCTGTTGTATCATGTGGCTCAGGTTAAAAGATGCAAATGACACGTGGAGGATGTCTTCTCATCTTCTTCGCTTTCGCTTTTGTCTTTGCAGAGAAGATATTATCTGTTTTTTTTGTTAAAATCTTGTCGGAGATTTTATAATAATTTTATATTTCTTCCCACTATAGAAAGTTTGCCAAACGCGAGTGGCGAGCGCGTGCTTGTTTGAAACAACGTTGTGAACATACTTCAACTCAATTACTGTTTGATTTTATATTTAATCAAGTGGACAGGAAAATTTGGTTTATTTAGGTGTACAAGTAAGGTTTGGATTCGGAAATTAGTAATTTCTTTTTACAACATTTCGTTAATTTGAATATTTTTGCTTTTAAGATGATTAAATAATACTATTATTTTCATATTTTACATCAACAAAAATATTTAATGTACTAATATTATTAACTTAATTAGTAATAATTAAATAATAGTGATTATTCGCACCATGTGCAGAATAAATATTAACCATAATTTCTTTATTGAAATAAATAAATATTATATTTATAAATATAATTATAAAAATATTAATTGATATTTACAATTACATAATTAACACATATATTTATAATTATAAATATCAACTAACATTTTCGTAGTTGTATTTATATATATTATAATTAAAAATATATGTGATAATTATATAATTATAAATAATAATTAAAGTTATACTATTTATTTTTTAATACAATTACATTAATGCTAGATAATTACTGGTTTTATAATTAATTTTAATAGTATTTTTATATGAATGAAATTGCATATTAAATATAATAAATTGGACTAATATGTTCTATCTAACCGGCCTAATATCAGACTAAGATATTTTACTTTGATATAAAAAGAAAATTTAAATTATAATATGTATGAAAGATTTTAAATTTTTTTATTATTAAATAGATAATATGATTATTTTCTAAACAAAATTAAGACTAAAAAGAAGAGATAAGAAATATAATGTTTAGTTATATAAGTAATATTATGGATAATATTTTTTATAAATACGATGATAAGAAATAGAAAAAGAAAAAATATATTTGTAAATTAAATGTTTGAGTATTAAATATATAGTTGATATAAACTAATCTCTAACCAAATTAATGTTAATGGCATATGATGTAATTTATCTAGTAAGTTGAACCTAATTTAAAAAAAAACTCTGAAATGCTTTCTAAAATTGATACCTCAGCATGACAAAGTTGTTAATAATGCATGATATAAAAATTATTTTTAAATGTACTTCTCAAATAATAATAGAAGATTGGACATATATGTGATTATGTTGTACAGTTTAACAAACAACATTTCTGCAACGCTGTTTTTTCTACTACATTCAGATCTTCCACATGTATTATATTTATAATATACAATTATCTCCATAAATATATGGTGCATGATTGGCAATTTATTAGCGAATTATGCAATTCTTTTTTTATTATTGGTGGATGCCGCCAACTGTTAATACCGAGTATCACACAAAAGGATTAAGAAATTTTACTGATTGTCTAGATGTGTTTTGTGAAGGCTGTCTATGTACTCTAATATAGGGATCAAACTAGTTCATATTACAAAGAGAAATAGACAAGCTAAGAAATAAGAAGAAGATGTATTCTAGGTCTTTTGTAGAGTTGTACATGAATCTTGAATAAATGAGATGCTCTCTATTCATAGATGTTGAAGTCGGTTGATTTTTCTTTTCCTTCTTGACTTAATATTGGAGATTTCTTTATTTCTGTAGAAGATAAGAGTGACTTCCTTTATTCTTGAAAAATTTATTTTTCGGGAATATATTTCATTTTTCTAAATAAGATTAGGAGATCTTTCGTGAAGTCTGGATGTTAATGCTGACATCGTAAGTCGGGCTTAATAGGCCTGAAGGCCGTTAGTGGGTCGAATGTTCTTCGGATATAAACTATCGTAAACCGGGATCACTAAGGGTGTGGAGTACACCATCGCCAAGTCACTTTTAAAACAAATCTGGTATTTTAGTTGCATAATTGTATACTACAATATCATCTCCTTTAAATTGGAGCATGTTCAAGTAAACAAGAAAAGTAGCAAGTCTGTTTTTCCTTGAGAATTTCATGCAGTGCCAAGACTCCAATTGATCGTCCATGCCTTATGTTTGGTGTTTGTTGCAGCAATTTTTATTGCAGTTTGAGGGAAAACTGGGTCTTTAATCAATTGATTATTATTATTTTTCTATTATTTTGAGATTCATTTCTTTATTTTATTATATGTTTTACTGAATAATTCTAATTTGAATAAGTATTATATTTCAATTTAAAAATCTGTAATTTTTAAATAACAATTAGATTTTAACAACACAAGTCTCACAGCCAAAAACTTACAGTCAAAGTTTTTACCAAACGGTTTTTTCATCTTTCTGTAGTTTTATCGATGAAATTGTGTGGATATTTGACAGACAGAGAGATATATTTTTAGTATATTGGCAGGATTGTATTTTTAATTGTTGATCAATAAAGAAGAAAGTTCTTGACAAAATAGCCTTCCTAGGTGGTACAAGAGGACATTTTCGATTAGAATCAAGAGCGACTCATACGGAGGTATATAATATATATATATATATATATTATTTTGTTTTCTTTCTATCAAAAATACTCTTGAAACCTCTATATTCTCACCTATTGACATGGAATCTCTAACCCAAACTCAGAAGATAAATTTCTTCTTCTTACTTTTACAACAAATATTGTAACAGACCCAAATTCCAGGCCTAGTAGGAGGCCCAACAGCCACCTCGCTCCAGCAACCCTAACTCTTCTCTCCCTATAAATAGAGAGTCTTCCTCTCACTTTTCCCTCATCCTCATTTGCAGCCACCCAGAGAAAGAGAGGAGAGAAAGAGAGAGAGAGAGAGAGAGAGAGAGAGAGAGAGAGAGAGAGAGAGAGAGAGAGAGAGAGAGAGAGAAAGAAAGAAAGAGAGAGAGTTCTGAGAGTGAGATTACCTCTGCTCTCAGCCTCTGCTGCTGTCGGCCGCCAGAGAGAGAAGAAGTTGCCATGAATCCTAGCCTTCTCGTCGACTCCTTGATTCATTCTTCATGCACTCTCCTTGATCCAGATCTGCAAAACTGTCAAGGTGAGGATTAGATCTAGACTTTTAGTACTTTATTTATTTTTCTTTGTCTTTGATGTGTTGAGTCTAGATCTACTCAGGTTGCTTCGTGTTAGACACGAATATGATTGATGCATATAGATCTAAGCATAAGAATGTTGAATTGAATTAAGGAAACATTAGATGAAGCACCAGCATACTTGTTTGTTCATCTCGTTTGACTGACTAATGATTGTAAAGTAGTTAGAACGAGGTGATTGACCTGTGAACGGACACAACAGTTCGGTTGTTGTATGCTGTGGGTCATACCTCGAAGAAATGATGATTTTCAGCGTTTGGTGGTTGAGGCAAACCACACAAACTTTCTTTGTGAACAAAGTATTTGCCATGCCTCGTAGCATGATGATGTGTTTGCCATGCCTCATAGCATGGTGAGAGTTTGCCATGCCTTGTAGCATGATGAGAGTTTGCCATGCCTCGTAGCATGATGATCCCGTGCATGTGTATTGCTTGTGTGCTTGTAGAGCAATGCTTATTGCTTGTATAGTTTTAGGCTTGACATATTGGAAATAAAAGGATAAATATAGTGGAAGTGTGAGTATAGTCCTCACTGAGTAATCTCCCAATTGCTCACCTCTCATTTTTTTTTTCAGGTAGGTATGAAGATTACGATCTCAAAGGATACGAGGAGTAGTCCAAAGTGGTGTGATGTTTGGGAGGGTTTTCTTTAGTTTTATTTGAATCTCAGTTACTCCTTTTAAAGACTTTTTATGCATTTACTTTGGTTTTATTTTCAGATTAAATTATGGATTTTAATTGCAAAACTTTGAATTTGTTAATGGAATAAGAGTATTATTCAGAAATGTGGTTATTTTATTCAATAAATGTAGTTAACCGATTTGAAATCGAAGGTGACAGTTCAGTTTGTCTGGTAGATGGATTGATCTGTTACAAAGTGGTATCAGAACTTAAGTTCGAGTTAAGAGAAAAAGTAACTCTATGACTAACGTTTAAAAAGAAAAAAGTTTTCTGATTTTTGGATTTATCTTTTTTTTGGGATTTTTTTTAAGTACTATAAAACCACCACCTAGAATGCTTTTCTCGTTATGTGTTGATTTTATTTTCAGGAAAATCAGTTTTTACAGGACCAGGCTGACTTGCTTGCTGATTCTCTTATTCTTTTATTTCAGATGTCTCCGATAGCCATAAATGCTCCAGTCGCCCCACTAGTGAATGAGCATGAAATCAATTCCACTGAGGGAAGTGTGAATGAGAGTGGGAACAATCTGCAAGTTCCGGTGGATGGAAACCACAATGGAGTGAACCATGCTCAGGTGACAGCTGAAGCTCATGCTGCATTGTTGGAGGAGTTGCATCATTACTAGGAAAAGTTTGGTAACTTGCAAAATAAGCCTGACCTGGCACTGGATGTTCAACAACAGAATGTGCCGCCCCCTGCGCCTGCTCAGTATCCATTTGTGCCACCTGTAGTGCATGCTCAGCAGCCCTTTGTGCCACCACCAGTGAATGTGCAGCAACTATATGCACCTTCGCCGCTTCATCAGCAGTTTGTGTCACCACCGCCTCTGGTGCAGCCTAATGCATTTGGATTCACGTATTACGAGGCAATGAGGCACCTGAAGGACATGAATATATAATCATTTAGAGGAAAATCTGACCCTGTCACTGCTGACAATTGGAAGACAGAGTTGGAAAGGAATTTTGAGTCCATGAGATGCCCAGAAGGTTATCGAAGGGAGTTAGC